ATGTACCTGCAGCCTAAGCGTGATTGTTACTGGGTCAGGTTAATTACGCAATTAACCCTTCACACTGCCACCACCTCCTTTTTGTACAGAGAAAGAGGAAACTCGGCAATATCAGCAATAACACTATGAGGTTTGAATAATCGTCGGTATACCACTGTCACCGCAGGCAGTGATATACTGAAGTTTAAAACAAACACACAGTAGCGCTTTTCAGAGGCAGGGGTTCTGAGTTTGCATTAAAGAGCTTAGAAACAGTTCAACACTTTCAGAAAGTAAGATTTATTACTAAAAGGTCAAAAGGGTGCAATAAAAAATATTTACAGAAAAAGATGTAGCCAATATATATATAAATATACAGAAAGCAATAGCACAGCAAAGAGGTAACAGAAAGGAATTTAGATAGATAAAGTACTTGCCAAAAGCCTTGGGTTAAGCAGCTTTCAAGTTTTCTGAGCAAAAGGGTCGTTTTCTCCGAAAGTTGGTTCCGATGTTAAAAAGGGAGAATTCTTCAACTAACTCAGCTCAGCTTAGCTTTTCTAGGAACTCCACAGGGTGTCTCCCTGAAATAGAGAACCAATCGCCTCATTTGGGGAGGGGGTTGTGTAGACGGGGAGCTCAGGCTTTGACCAAAGCCTTCCCAAATTATACTATGGCCAATAACATTTCCTAGGTACATATAACATTCTATCCACCAGTAGATTAATACCCAGAATCATCTGCTGAACGGTTAGATATGAAATATGAATATCTGCTTGAATGGTTAAGGAGATATGATTTTCTGCTCTCCTGTGTATGTCAGATAGCGGGTGTAATATACCAGGTGACTTGTCTTAACGGGAGCCATCCGAATATGTGTTTCATGTTTGTGTAATTAATTCCTATTTGAAGATATAAAATTATATGGAAAAGTGAGTTTTTAAATGTAAGTCTGTTTTTACGACGCCTTGGAATGTCTTTTGAAGCTCAGCGAGGGCTCGGTTTATGGCGTTACGACCCTTTCTCCAGCAAAGGTCTCGTAGACAGAGGGGCACAAGCTAGTTGTGAGATTTATAACCATGACGCCCTCCCAATGAGTTTGCTGCCTGTGATCTGCATCAAACAGACCACATGTCACTCAACATAGAGGGAGGGGGGATGAGGAAAGCTGATTTGGGAGAGAGATACAAAATGGAAGGGTTTGGAGCAAAATGGATGACCGCGTCCATCCCTGTGTGCATGATTGCTACAGTATCAATGGGAGGAATAGGAATAGCATTCCATTGTTGGTGTTAGTGGGAGGAATAGTGCCCCATCGTTGGTGTCACAGGAGAAATTGTTTCCCATCATTGGTGTTTGTGGGAGGAACAGTGCCCCATAATTGGTATCAATAGGAGGAATAGTGCCCCACAATTGGTATAAAAATGAGGAATAGTGCCCCATATTTGATATCAATAGGAGAAATAGCGTCCTTTTGTCGGTGTCAGTGGCAGGAACTATGCCCCACTGTTGCTGACAGTGGGGTGAATAATGCCCCAAGGGCCACATAAAAGCAACCAAAGGGCCACATCTGGCCCTCGGGCCACAGTTTGGAGACCACTGACTTAGCATATTAACTAACAGCCCATTGCATCCATTGTTTTTTTTCCAAAAATACGGTGTGCTAAATATACTGAATGATTTCAAGTATATGTTTTCCCATTGTCAGGTGTTACAGGATTGGTGCTGCCAATACTCACAACATGCCCTGCTGTGATTTCCAACTTCCTCCCTGTCTAGGGGTTGGTTGAGTTCCAGCTTTCCTTTGAAGGGAAAAAGCGAATTGGACAGTTTTTTTTTTTCTTTGCTTCGCACAGAGGATTTGTCATGGTGGTGTCTATAATGCCAAATTATTTTTTACCCCCTTCATAATGTCTGTCAATGTCTGTTAATAGTGGCCATACTTTTATCACCATAATTATGAAGACCTTGAAGTAAAATCTTTTAGGCCCACAGCTGGCAGCTAAGACGCACACTTGAATAAAATGAAAATAGCGTTTCCTATTGACTGCCATGTTACCCCACTGTTAATAATGTCTTGTTCCTCCATAATGCTTTTGTGACTTTCACATTTCATTTACAATGTGCTCATTTTTGAGCCAGCCACCCGTAGACATGCGAAACCCAATTAAAACGATCAATGATGGATTAAAGAATAGCATAAATGCGGAACTGGGTCAGTCCTGACCGTTCGCTGCCCATTGACTCCAGGTAATGTATTAATCTTTTGACTTTTTGCCAAGGTGAAAATGAAAGAAATCAAAAGGGTCAATTATTAACCAAATAATTGAACCACAGTGTGCATGACAAATCAAGTTTCAACTATGCTTTGAATGCGTTCCATCTGAATTCCCTTTTTCTTTTCTTTTGGGGGGAAATTGTTAAATATAAAAAAAAGTTGTTAAACTCACGTAATAGTATAAATATGCAAATATAGACTGTACCAGGTTCAGAAGTTTATTGCAGTCAAATATTTACTTTAAAAGGCTAAAGTATTAACTCAATAATCAAAAACCATGGGCTCAGCATATGCTGGTAGGGAATTGAGAAAGTTGTTGCTTTTCCTATTACTGTCCTATTACTGTCCAATAACAAGGGGTGGGAGGCAAGACCTATAAATGTTACTTAAAGTGGTGCTAAAGGCAAAAATAAATACATATATATATATATATATATATATATATATATATATATATATATATAAAGTCACTAGCAATACCAAAGCAGTCTTTGTTTTTCTTTCTGAGGATCGCTATAACTTACTATTTATACTTGTTGAATCTGTTGTTTTTCAACTTCCTTTAGCAGACAAAAAGTGGCAGTTGGAAGACTAACTGTTAAACAATGACGGGGGTGCTTACAATGGTCAGCTTTTTTTTCATTTATGTAAAACCTTTATTCCGAAAGGAAAAAAAAAAACTCCATCTGATTATACTAGTTCATCTAACACTACCCCTTCCAGACAGTGCTCCCGTCCAAGGGTGTCTGTTGATCCTCCATACATAGAGGAGCCAACCTAAGAGGAGGAAATGTGTGATTGGCCAGATGCCTAAGTAAATATAAAGGAGGAAAAAACCTCCTGCCCTGCCAGACAGGACTGTCTGTGTGTAGTGTAGCTGTATAAATCTCAGAACTAGTTGGACAGAATTTCACATAATTTGGTGGGTATAACAGCTTCCTTATATGTATTCCATCTGTATATGTATCTGTTTACCTGGAAAACAGCTTTAAACATAAAGAACATGTTGAACTTATTGTACAGAGCTAATCTACAATTATAGACAGTGCCAATTTTACATTGATATTAGTAGTGAAATATATTCCAGTCAAATATGTACATTTTGCCCTAAAACTGGTGTTGGGATCTGTAGTCCTCTATTGTCTGTTTTTGTAAATAGTTGATCTGCTTATCACAAATTAATTATGTATAGCACTTCCTGTCTTTGAGTTGTTGGGCTGGAAACCCCAGAAGGAGGAAGTGAAGAGAGCATCTGAGACCACATGTCCTGTTGATGGAAGAACTGCTGCCAAATCCAGACCAGAAGCAGGGGTTATTAGGTAAGTGACCCTATATTTAATAGTTTATTAATCATAGCTTCCGTGTGTGTATGTATATAGTATATATAGAGACTGGTGATAGAAGTATAAATATATCCTTGTTGTTATCTCAAATGCACTATACCAGATAGTTTGGTCTGTAACACAGTGTGAGTGTACAGTGGTCACCTTGTTGTATGTTAATGTTGTGAGTGTTTTTATTGCAGTAGAGTTTATATGCAGCTCTTGTTATTTTAGTTAACCCTGTCCTTTCTGGCCTGGGATTCAATAGCTAGTTTTAGTTCAGGGCTCAAAAATCAGCATAATCTAGAGTCAGGCTAGAAATCCAGTGAACACTTTTGTAGTTAGAGACTAGGTTGCATGGCAGATTAGAAACTTCTAGAGTCTAATGCACAGAGTAGACAGGCTAACTCTGAGTTCCAGTGCCACACCACAGTTTCTGCTGGTGAGAAGCTGTGTTCCAGACTGGTTGGACAAGGTTGGAGGTTATCCCCATAATCACTGATCTTGTCTTCAGGTCTCCAACACCAAGATGTACTAAACATTGTGATTAACATCAGGGGCCCCTGCAACTGAACTTTGCTGCAACATTTGTGATGCCAATAAGGGAAAATCTACAGCCATTTTTTAACATTCAGCCCCAACTGACTTCAGTGGGGTTCAGATTTGGCACCCAAATTTTAGTAATGTTTGCTTGCTCTGAACAGAATCCAGGTATGTCACATCACTAGCGAGCAACTATGTTACTTCAGGACCCAGTGATGATGTGCCGAATTGAACCACCCCAGGGCACAATGGCTTCTGACACACCCAGAAGTGTCAGATACCAGTGAGGGCTGAGGATCTAGAAGAATATGAAGACTGGAAAAGCTGTCTGTCTGATTGGTAAGTATTCTTTGTAGCACCATGTCGCTTTAACTACAGTAAAACTTTATCTGACATATTATTAGTGCTTAGAAGCACATTGTGATATCTGTTAAACCGTTCTGTAATACATATTGCAGGGCTTAAAATTTCATGTCCTGAGCTACTAGCCAGGCCTTAAGAGTTACTCGCCACCAGTTGCCCCACCCAGCCCCTACCCTGCTACACCCCTAATTCCCCCCTAAACACACCCTCATAAATTATTTCATGAAATGACACTATTAAATATTACCCACATTACATCAGGGCCTCCAATGTCCCCCTAAACACTCCATCATACTTAGACCATGTACCGTATACAATCATAACCCCCCATAATCTTTCACTCACAAAACCATAACTCTACCAAGCATATCCTACCTACTCTCCAGCCCAGCAATACCTCAAATGCGCCCCCCATACTCTACCACACATAATACCCACATAATCCTGAACCTGACCAAACCACCCATACATGTAGGTTTACACACAGACACATGCACATACACACACACAGAGACACTTGTACATACACATACAGACATGTACAAACACACACACACATATACACACAGAAACATGTACACAAATGCACAGAGACACATGTACACACACACACATACAGACATGTATACACACACAGACACATGTACAGACACACATACATGTACATACACACAGACACATATACATACACACAGACACATGTACATACACAGAAATGCACCCGCACAGACACATGTACATACACACAGACACATATACATACATACACAGACACATGTACGTACACAAACACACATGTACGTACACACATGTACATGCACACACACATGTACACACATACAGATGCATGTACACACACAAACACATGTACACACACATACATGTACATACATGGACACCTGTACAGATACACACATGTACATACACACAGACACATGTACACATGCATACACACACACACAGATACATGTACACACACCCTATAAAAACTTGCAGTACTTCATTGTTCACTCACAGAGCCGGGTACAGCACTCTAGGGGGAGGCAGAGAGCACAGCACACACTCCTTCCTTTGCTTTCACTGCGCTCAGTCTGAGGGCTCCCAGTATAAGTGACAGATCTGACCTCGAGTTCCTAGCCTGCTCAGCAAGACGGCCCTGGGGACACACTCGCCCCCACCATAATTTCCACTCGCCATTGGCGAGCAGGCGAGTGGAAATTTCAAGGCCTGCATATTGTAAATGTTAAATCTTAATGGCATAATGTTATAAAAAAAACTAGCATTAAAACTGAACTGTGTACTACTGTGTTACTAGCTATAGTGTGCAATAGTTTCAAGGCTTCCTGGAATATATTGCACAGTGATAAATTCACCCTTGTACAGTCATAGTGAGAGATACTAAAAATATCTTGTCTTGTTTTATTATACGAGTGATTATTAGTAGGTAGCAAAGAATGTAGATGAACACTGCAGAATGACAGTGCTAGATAGTCAGAGACTTGGCATTTAGCTGGTTTGATCTAACCTCCATATCTAAAACTTAATTTCTGTGACATTAAATTAACCCCTTGTTTCAACAAATTAATATGATATTTTATTTGACATAAAGCAAATCATGACTTTGTATACAAACACTCATAATTGCATTTGGTTACCAAATGCTTTTACTGTTTGTTTTGCTTATAAATGCAGATTTTACATAAATCAGGGCACATGCTATCGCAGACAGAAAATGCAGCTCATCTATGTATAATAAGCAGGAAAGATGCACACGGGGACCTAGAGGCATGTTCATGCACCTTTACATTATCTTCTGGACCCCTGGGAACCAATAAATCCAAGGAGTGCTAATATGCAATAACTAAGTTCAACATGGAATCTCAAGCACCTTGGAAGCAACTTAGTGGTGTCTGATTGCACCTGATTGGGTATTCTTTGCAAAAAGAAGTCTTATCACATTTACATTTAATAAGGAAAATGAGTGCAACTGCACTTGCAAAGTGCATCGTCTGTTTGCTTTTAGTAAATCCCCCTCACTTTTGCAGGGAAAGAATAGGGAAAGTGGACTAACTGGGCTAGTTATGGAACTATACTTTTATTCTGATTGTTAGCTCTTTGCTGACTTTTTCTTCTATTTTATTGGTATTTTTATTTGGGACCTTTTGTCTTTTTTCATGTTGTGGTTGATTTTAGGTCTGGATTAGACTTTTGTTTCAGGAAAAATATTTTGGGGTTTTCATTATTTTTTGGAGGTGCCTTTTTTTCCACAGTACTTTGACATCACTTGAAACAAACACAAAAATCGCAAGTACAGTGTGCTATTAAACCCCCTCACCTTCATTGCACTCTCTATCCTTGTAGATAATTTATAAGTAAGATATACACGGGTTAGGCCTAATATCCCTAATTTAAACTGTCCTGCTTCTGAACAGTCACTGCTGTGTCCTATACTTTGAGGGTTCACTTACACCAGGTGCGTTAGGACTGCAGAGGTCAACTATTTCAGTGCAGTCCTACTGCATAACAAGGCAAAATGCCTTCTCTTCTATGTGCCCTATTCACACTGCTGCGTAGGGGTGGTGTATGGGCAGTGTGCACTGAAAAAAGTATGGCATGCAGTGCAGAGCAGTGTGAAGTAATCCACCACCTCACACTGCATGGCGGCCCTGTTTTTCTGGACCCCTCTCTAAAAGCCCAAACTCTGCTGACCAGGGGCGGACTGACCATATGGAAACTCGGCACTGCCCGAGGGCCCGGGGTCAGTAGGGGGCCCCATGAGATGCCCCTGGTACCTTTTTCATAACCTTTTTTGAGTTTTTGCAAGGACACAGGGGCCCCATGATCCCCTACTGCCCGGGGGCCCCATGAGTTGTCAGTCCACCCCTGCTGCTGACACCACAATATACTCTTAACTAAATTACCCTCAAAAAATAGACTCACACACCAATGGGAGTAACCAGGCAAGAGGTTTATAGCAACTTCAATGTAGCTTGGTTACACAACTTAAACAGAATTGGTATGCGCAGAGTCAATTACTACTTGTGTCAACTTTAAACAAGGAAAGAAAACAACACTTATCACAGAGTCTCAGTTAGTGTTAGCAGGCCCGCTTTTCAGAAACTAACCCAATACCTTCAACCGGAGGTGGCTATACAGTCCCCAGTGAGCAGCGAGAACTATCAAACAGGTAGACTAGCTCACTTTGGGTCCTCAGGACCTGATGGAAAGAAGGTAACCTGAAATAGGTAAAGATCTCTTTGCCCCAACACAACCAATGTTTTTTTAACCACTTCAAGTCCGGACACTTTCACCCCCTTCCAGTCCAGGCCAATTTTCAGCTTTCAGTGCTATCACACTTTGAATGACAATTGTGATGTAATGCAACACTGTACCCATTTGAATTTTTTAGCATTTTTTTTTTAGACAGATAACATTTTATTTTGATAGTATTTATTCAGCACTGGAATTTTTATTTTTTTTGCTATATAAATGAAAAAGTCCAAAAATGTTTTTAAAAAGTGTTTTTCTTATAAAATTTGGCAAATAAATAATCTTTCTTCATAATTCTTGGCCAAAATGTATTCAGCTATCTTTTTAGTAAAACAAAATCCAGATTAGTTTATAACCAAAAATTATAATTTTTCAAAAACGTTATTTTACTTTTTTATTTTTTTTTTATATTATTATTTATGTTTGTTTTTTTTAACATACTGTCACTCTAGCAGTACAGTGTCACAATAGTGACACAGTACTACTTGTGGGGGTTGATGAAGATTTTTTTTCCTTTTTTTACACTGATTGCTTTTACACCCATAAAGGCTGTATAAGCAATCATTTCTATTTCTCTCTGGCTGCATTCTTGCAGCCATTGAGAAATACTGTGCAAGCTGTGATTGGTCACAGCTTGTCACATGGTACAAGGCTCTTGTGAATAGCCTTGTATCATGTGACCTCTGTGATAATTCACAGATTTCACAAGTAGTAAGCAATTATGTCAGGAATTGACATCTTGTTTACTACTGCTCATGTGATCACTGATTGGCCAATCAGTGATCACATGAATCCGGACCTCACACAGAGGTCCCATAGAGTGATCGGTGTTCCGCTGTGTCCTCCAGACCCAGCGGGCATCGGATCCCAGGGAGAGCGCACAGGCAGTGAATGCGAGTGATGTTTAGAAACGCCAACCCTCTTCAGCAGTGCTCCCATCCGGCCCATGTCTATAAACAGCTGGACGGCAGTGAAAAGTCTTCTGTGCCCCTGATGGGGTCCAATTGGTGCACAGTGAGAGGAACCATGAATAATGGTTCTCTGAGGAACAATGTAATAAAGATAGGGAAGAACAACACTCCCCTGGAAGCAGAAATTGACTCATGTAATGTTCCTTTAGAGCTTTAGCCACTAATGAATCTATAACAACAAGTGGTTAAGCTGGAAGAAGTCATTGTTGGCAAGGGCAGCTTCTCTCTGGACTGCAAAACTATTGGCACATTAGGAAAAGGCCTCCTTAATGGAGTGAATTGATGATGGTGGTTACACAGTGGTGGTTCAGATTGTGGACTGACTGTCCTGCAATCAGCTCTGATGATAAGGCTGTGTTGAGCGTGGTCAAATGATAGAGGCTGAAAGAACTAGGTCGCAACTTCTAAAATTATGTGCAATGTCTGCGACTGTATGCAGGATAATAGCAAAGGTGGATCAAGTGTCAGTGTTCCCTGCCCTTGATAATACTTGGGACTTTCTCACCCGAGGGATGGCATCTGGCAAACTCTGGCGGTCTTTCTCAACTCCTCTGCTAAGGCCTCTACATACTCTCCAGTCCCACCTGCAGTGTTCTGACTGGTCACCTGCTGGCAGATTAGCTTTCTCAACAATGCAGCAAGGTCAGCGATCAGCAGACTCTCCTCGTCTCTCTTTTCTCTCTCTCCTTCTGCTGTCTGGTTCGGTCCTCCCACGTTCAGTACACTCCTCTCTCCAGATCTCTCCCCTCTCACTTCCTATCTCGTTTCCCGGGCTTTCACATATATATATATGCCTCCGCCCACACACCAGCTCTCTGGGAAATGTAATCCATTTTTTCACTGCTCCTTAGTAAAGTCCTGCGGTTCAGCATACAAGTTCCATGGGGCTGAGCTGCAATGTGTGAATGCCACAGTTCTGCAAGACACTGCCATCTTGTGTCAGTTTTAACATCCTGCATCAACACTTGTAGTAGGGTGTTACACTAAGAAAAATTGTTTTGTCCTCATCCATGGATCAGCATATCCCATGCTCTGTGTTTCAGCGTTCAAAAACAACAGTTAATTCAAAAATCCATACAGAAAAAAAGAAAAAAATCAAATTGTATTTGCTACTTACAAATTTTAACATATCTTTCTTTACAGTATCAAATCTGAAATCAAGTGGTCTTCACACTTTCATGCTATTCTTAAAGCAGATCTCCCCCCTTTTTTCTTTCAAACCCCTACTTTCCTGGTTGCGGGTCCTGCGCATTTATAGTACCCACTCGCCTAGCGGATCCAAAATTGTCCTGCTGAGATCTTGCTGCTTTTATGACCCTTGGTCAGTCCCATGTCACCATCTTCTTCGATGACATCATTGTGAAGCTGCTGGGTCTTCAGGGTTAAGTCGGTTGCTTCCCGATGATGTGCACCCCTTTTTGACAACGTACGTGGTACGAAACGCGTTAAGGAGGAGCCTGCATGCCACGACGTCACGCCGCCGGATGACGGAGGTCCAGTGGCAATCTTTGCCTTCCCACTGGTCAGTGTATTAGGCAGCTTTAAGCTGCATGTACTCCTATTCATACGGATACTTTCTGGATTTTAATCTTTGCACAATAAAACCCTATATTAATACCAAATTACTACACTATGGGCACCATCCTTTTTTGTTCTGCACTGAGCATTTAATTTCTCAGGAACCCAGGTGACCATCCCAGTGTCCAGAAGAGGGAGATCCACATCAGGCCATATTCCAGCTTACCTTAAAGGGGACCTCTGGCTGACTTTTTATCACCCCAAACTCCAGAGGAGGGTTATCCATCCCATGCTGTATTCCATCCTACCATAGAGGGGAACTCTGGCTCTTTACCACATATTAAAATACTGCACATTTAAAATGCCCATCTGGTGAGTGTGCATTTTTACTATACCCCACATGTCACCGGAATATTTGATTGCATACTACTGGGATAACAAGATTTACCTTTATCCGGATTACTGATATTT